ACTTTTAAATAATATTTTTTTTTCACTTATAGAGGGAAGTAATTAAATATTATAAAATTATAAAATCTTTATTCTATTAATAGTATACTAGAGATTTCTTAAGATTAATTAAAAGTATAATAAATTATATTTTAAATAAATAAAAAAGAAAAGTAGTATAATAGTATCTTAATATAACTTTAAAAGATTTATATATTATAAAATATTATTAACTTATTAATAAGATAAAATTTTCTAATAAAATAAAAGCGACTTCGAATAATATAGAGTTATTTCTTTTAAACTAAGACTTCTTTATAGATCTTATATTTAACGTATAAATACTAGAAATCTCTTTTTACTTAGCTATTACTTATTAAAAGATAGAAGATATATATAATAAAAGCTTAATAGATCTATTAACTAATTATTTAATTTTATATATCTAAATAAGTAATTACGCTAACGTTATAAAGATTATTATCGAAAGTTCTAAATATACGCTAAAACTCTTGGCATTCTTAGTATTTCTAGTATTTTAATAAATTTCTTAAATAGCTTTATAATTTATATACGATATTTTATATAATTATATATATACTAATTTACTCGATTAGCTAGATTATAAAGTCGCTTATCCCCTTCTTTATAGCTCTCTTAATACTTATTATCGTCTTATAAACGAATAACTTCGATAATATATCTAGATATATACTCTATCTACTTTTAAATTCTCTTCTATAATAATTTATACTTTTAGTAATAAACTTATCGCTTTTCGACCTCCTTTTAAGTCTTAAATATATCGTTTTAAGTTATATATCGCTTTATCTAATTTTAGTATAGCTTAATTATATTAAGATTCGAAGAGTTATTATATTAAATTATTTAAATAATATTAAATAATATATAAATCGCTTTCTAGTATTTAAATACGTATATTAAAATCTTATTCTTTATAATCTCTATATTAAATTACTTATATTTATACTTCTAAATAAATTTTATAAGCTTTAAAATAAGAATTTATATCTAATTAATAAGAGATATATAAGAAAATTAGAGATATATATTTTCTTCTAATAGCGATATTAATTAATTCCCTCTTTCTTCCCTTTAATAATAACTTTTTTAATCTTTATAGTAAATTTTTATATAGACTTCTTATTAGAAAGGTTACGTAATCTTATACGTCATATATCGATCTTAAGTTTTTAAGCTACTTTATACTTAGGCTTTAAGATCTTATTAATTTTAACTAGTTTCTTAATATATTTCTTCTTTTTAATAATAGTTTCAGACTTTTAAATATAATATAGATCTTTTTTATTATAGAAAAAATACCTCTAAAATATAAACTCTATAGTCTCTATAAAACGATGTTATATAATAGACTTAATAAAGATTTCACTAGATTAACGCCAGATACGCACTTTCCCCTATCGAGAATTTAAAATTATACTCATTTTATCGATCTAGATTACTCTTTTCTAGTCTTCTATAATCTAATTCTTATATTATAAAGCGAATTAATATCAAGCTTTTATTATAGCCTTCGTAAGGGACGATTTTTTAATAGTTTTATATAATCGAAAGTTATTACGTCTAAGTACTTATAAGACTATTATTAATAAGATTTCTTATTCCGCGATTATTATAAATAAAGTCTTTTTATAACTATAGCGATTCTTTTATATAGCGATAAGAATAGTACTCTTAAATTTAAATATAATAATAATAGATTATTTAGATTTAGAGATATCGATAATATACGATAGCTTTAGTTTTTTAAATTTATTAGAGTTATATTCTCTAATATAGACTTAATTCTAAAGACGTTTAATTATATAACGAGATATTTTAGTAATTATAATAACAATTTTATTTATAATTTTAGCTTTAGCTAAAGCGAGTATTTATAATCTAATTTCGTTATTATAATTAATACTCTAAGTATTAGATATTATAATTAAAGAGTAGTAGAAAGATATTTACTTATTATACTAGATACATATTAAATATATATTAAAAAGCTTTATATTCTCTCTCTATTTTCTATTTCTTATAATATTCTTATTAGCGTAAGTATATATAATATTATACTACTATCGCTACTATATATATAGTAATATTATAACTATATACTTCGTATATATATAGTAATATCGCTACTATATACTTTATATATATATACTTTAAATATATAATATTAATATTACTACTATATAAAGTATTAATATTTAAGATATTTAAGATATTTACTAAGAATATTAAGAGTTTAAAGTCTTAATTCTAATATTTAAGACTTTCGATGGCAATCTTCGTATATAAAGTAACTTTATAATTAAATTACTATTTTATAATATAAAATAGTAATTTAATTTATAAATAATCGACGAGGTTAATAACTACTCTATATAATTAGCCTATTAGATTGTTACCCTTTTCGTTTTGAATTATTCTTTTGAATTATATTGCTAAACCTCCCTAGTCGCTATCTTGCAATATAAGCTGCAAAGACAACAGCCGATAACCTACATAAACAGCGATGATCGTTCCGTTGTTGCTGTTCTGTACCTTGCGCTTCGAATACTTGCAGAGTCCTTATGAATGGGGCACATAATCTTTTGGAGCTCCGCTGTCTAATGGCGCTGTTGAAGCAAAAGCTTGGTCGTTGGCATTGACCTTCGTCTATGAAAGCAAGATTGCGAACAAATGGAGAGTACGACGGGTGCTGATTTATATGACTAGTTTTATTGTAGGAAACCATTGGGATTGGAATATCAGCATTGCGTATTCACCCAGGTCACATGCTGTCCAGGTACAGCTCATACTCATAATCAAACGTCATCAGCCTACGCCTTTAAAAAAGGGTGACAACGACGTCCAGTACATAAAGAGTTCTTGTAGTCAGACACCACCAATCAATTGTCTTAGTTGAGCTCTAAAATCTACCGACTTGGCGGACAGAAGGCTGACCTGCTTGTCATACATGTACAGAGAAGCGAATGTTCAAGGTAATGCAAGTCTGAGCGCGCAAATGCTCATAGAATGTTAAATTAGGATGCGAAGTGAAAGCTGACGGCGAGCAACCCAAGTGACTTCTCCTAGCCAAGCAGTGCAAATGATACCTGCCTCAACAATGCTGGTATCAGATGTGCGCTAAAAGGTCTGTGTTCACTGCAATATGTCTAAGATACCGCGAAGGACCTAATTGTTGGCGCTCACGTTGTCGTATGTTGAGTTTGGCCTTGTCCGTGCACTGGAATTTGTCCTGTTTGGGCCACCCTAGGAAGCCTTTGTTGAGGGGCCTAACACGCTGGTGCTATTCATGTTGGCAGCGCTTAAAGGTGTAGAAGTAGCCACTGGCAGTGACATCGGCAAGTCATGCGTGTGGGTGGGAAGGTGGCTGACGCTGCGTGTCGGACGAGCATTGACATGTGCCGAAGCATCGACAGAGCGACGAGCCACAGAGTGGATGGCTGATGCTGAGAGATGACCTGATGCATAGCCAATGCTTGGGCTTCCGCGCTTGCGTAGACCTTGGTGACGGAGGAGAGGAGGCAAGGCATCGAGGCTATCCATCCCAGAATCAGTGCATACCGAGAGGGTATGGTGAAGGGCGGAGCCGAATTGAGTAGTCTGGCATTGAGAGTAGAGACATTGAAGCACCATCTGGAATCCATCAGTAACGCACTTTAGATGGAAGAAGGCGACATGACTGGAGTACATACGCTCTGAAACTCAGCGTCCTCGCACAAGCATTGGGTCTCATTGGCTTGGACACAGGTGCTGACGTATTTGGAATTCTCCCAACATTTCGACACGCATACTTGTTGGCAGATTAGCGTCGTCCTGGTCAGCACAAACGGGAAAGATAGAATGATTTACCTGGAGACTCTAGGGTCTTGAGGCCGACGGCACTGTGTAGCAAGCCAATGCCAAATAGCATTGTTGTCTGCAGCTTCATACTGACGTGGGAGGAAGCTTTGCAGGTGTTTAGATTTACCTGTCAGTGAGGTGATCCGGTGAAGCGAAACGAACTGTAGTGACAGACTGAGATGCGTAGATGTGGCGTTGTCGAATTTATGGAATGAAAGGAAGCAGTCAACAGGACTGAATTTTTGGACGAGTTGAAGAGGGCAGTGGGATGGAGGAGTGAAGGAGGAGAAAGTGTTGCATTGCTCAGGCGCTAGGCATTTTTTCCTTCTGAAATTCCCTACGTTGAGCTGATCAAGTGGGAAGGCAGAACCCGCGTTCGGCAATCGTCACCGTCACCTACCAACCCAGCAATCGGTTACTCATCGACCACGTTTCCTACGGGATCACGAACAAGAGAATGCCTTAGGAGAGCTTGTGAACGTCATCATAATCTCAATGCGTGGGGCGTCATCAATCACCTGCGAGGTGACCTCGAAATCGGGGTTTATTTTCTTAGGGTCAACATCTTGACTGCCAGTGGGAACATCACACAGAGAATGAGTTTGAAATTTACGACAGCTAATAGAGCAAGAGTCGAACCTTTCCACTACCACTTCCGTAACGATTCTTCAGCTCGGACTGATTCAGCAATGCCATCAAGGGCTGTTGTGTCTCCCGCATATCAAATATCCCCCTTTTTTTCTGGTCAATGTGCGAACAATCAACCACTACCCGTTCCAGACTGGATGATGATAGTGCACCTGCTGAGATCAGGACGGTGGCTCACAGCAAATTGGCGTGTTGTACTGGAAGAAATGGTGTGTAACATACCTGAGTCGAAAAGGTCGATGATTCGAGAAGGAGTACCAACACCAATTCCCATCCTTGAAGAGATTAGCACCTAGAACTCAGTTGTAGAGGGAGATCGATGTGAGACACCTTGTTTTCCTGACAAAATCTACTGCCTCTCTCAGCTTGATATGTTTGGCAAAGAGTTTTGCCACCACAGCGTCTTTTGTCTGAAAGAGGCGTAAGGCTCTGAGACAGCATTGGTAATCAATTTTGGTGCCTTCACAAGTTCTCGGCTCAACGTGTGTGGCCTACCTAGTGATATCTGCAGCACGTAGACCAGAAGATGTGATCACAAGAGTATGTGGGCTTCCCAGTTTTTTTGATGCCGAAGAGAGAGCCATATTTCCTGCTGCTTTCGGATTGTAGTGCTCAAGGAAGCTTGCCATGTCCTGCAAAGTTCTTGGCTTCTCCCATGATGTGGTATCATGGAAGGCTGTCTCTACATAATTTTTTAGCCTTCATCTTGAGCATCAGCTAATGCCTCCTTAAGGAATTGTGTCCAAACAATACCTGAGATATATCTGTCCTCGAGCTCCACAAGGCTGAGATCTGGGAAAAATCGCTTGGTTCGTTTGGCGACGTAGTCCGCTAATAATCGATTGTCCAACTTCGCGATGGCTAGGTTAAGACCTTGGTCTAGATCAAGATTATGATCCTCATCCGATTTAGTCTTTTTGGATTTCTTGGACCTTTTTTGCTTCGCTGAACTGTCGACAACAGCCTCAAGATCATGGTCTTCGCCGTCGTTGCGTTTCCGCTTTGCGGTGCGAAAGGGCGATTTGAGTCTGATAGTAGTAGCCGGTACCTTGGATTTTGGCAAAGCGCTTAAAGAGGTTTTCGACTTTTCTGACATTATAGAAGAATACAAAATTTGAAGGAGTAGATTTGCAGATTGATGCGGTTTGCATATCGGAGACTCGGAGTTACCTAATCAAAGTGCGACCTGTGTGGCGTGGCTTCCAAGCGCTTTCTTGGCGTTACATCCTCGTTCACTTGTTTACGGATTGCCCAAATCGAGACTTGACTTTCACGAGGGAGTCTTGGGTCGTGGAGACTACGTAAATAGGTCTATGCTGTACGAAACAATGTCAAATATCAAGGAGAACATCAGGGTAGATTCTGGAACTGAAGACGAGCTCTCAGCTCCATCCAAGCTATTTTGCGTCACGCCGCGAAACTCCGCTGCCGGACAAGCATGCCCCACTGGACAAGGTCGAACACCATTTGCAAACGTTAGCAATCCCGGGCGAAGTTATGGAAATTATTGCTAACAAGCCCTTCATTCCAGTTGCGACACCTAGCCGGACTAATGCGAAAGCCATCAACGCCTCGGAGACGTGCTTCTAGCGTTGGCGCTACCACATCTCGGGGCAGTGCCGTCGGCGCACTCTCCGCAAAGTCGCGCACGCCAGGTGCTCGCCGGCCACTGCAGGAATTCTTGACGACGAGAAGCAATCCCACAACACCCCACGCAATCAGAGCTTTGCAGCAGCGAAGGGCTACGCCAGGTCGCGATAGACGCAAAAGTAGGCGTATGCAGCGTGAAACACCAAGGGATGCACTTAGGAACCTTAGCAAGAGTTGGTTCCCAGCCCACTGCACTTTGAATCGAGCTGATAGCGAAGGACCTTAGTTCTGGCTTTGAATAGCCAACCATCTTCTCTTCCATCGCACCTTGAACAAAATGAGCGCCGCGTAACTGAAGGCAACAATATCGAAGATGGTCTAGAGCTGCAGCGACCCGGCTTCTCCATCGCGATTGAAGATCGAGCAGATGAAGACGACAATTTTCAGCTGGCGCCTCCGCGGCTGTCAATGCAATTAGAAGCGGGAGAACAGACCGGAAGATCAATAGAGATTGGGCGGCGTGCTCTGGATGATCAACCACCGGGAAGGCTCTCCCGAGGCAGCTTTGGTACTGTCCGGGGCAGTAACCTATTCGATGATCCGAGTGCGTTGGGCCTAAACGATGTATCGCAGCCTCTGTTCGAGGGTAGCGTATTGCAAATTGCGCCCGATGCAGACGAGGATGACTTCGGAGTTCTTGGAGGGAAATCGAGCTCTGGGTCAGTAGTCATCTAGAAAGGCTGGGTGTGAGCAATGCTGACCCCGCATAGTGATGAAAGAGAAGGCTTGCGGCGCGCCATGTACAAAGATCACGATCGTCGCGAAGGTCATTCCAACAGAGTACAGCAGGCACGGGAGCTCGAGGGCGAAGGAAAGTCTCCCTTCATTCTCAATATCCCAGTGCTTCAGTCTAGACGTTCTTCCGCGGAGGCAAACTTCCCAGACGAGCAACAGCTTGGAGGCCTCGACAAGGAGCCTGAGCAAAGTGTACTCAACGTGAGACCCACCAATTCCATCACGAAGGCTAAAGCCGGAAGGAGAGCGCCGAGACCCATGAAGAAGTCACGCCAGGGGTTTCCGTATCCCAGCTTTCCCGCTGGGGTCACTAAAAATATTGCATCTACTTTCGCTCGATCACTGGGCAGCAAATCGACTATAATAGACAAGGAAACACTTGAGGCCATCACTGAGGCTATTGACCAATACTTCGAACAGCTCAGTATCGATCTTGGTGTCTTCGCTAGCCATGCGGGAAGACGGAAAATTGGCGAAAACGATGTCATTGCTGTCATGTTGCGGTACGTCATTCCAACTCTTGGCCCGGCATAAGACTGTCATGACACACAGCTCCAAAGCTCATCCGTGAGACAGACAGCGGCAAGTGTCTGCCACAACGACGCCCTTCTCGTTGGCCAAGAAGTATCTATCGGGAGAGCTGCTCCAGGGAATACGAATGCCGATCGCCAAAGTAGGCCGATTGAAGAGGCGACACCCGCTTACAGTCATTGATAGAGATGGAGTGGAAGGTGTAGAGTGACAAGGTTCGGTTACTCGCCAGCCGATAATCTTTGAAATCCAGTGCTCTAACCGAGACCAAGCTTGGAGTTCCATTGCTTGAAGGCTCTCCTCGTCAAGACCGCCAGCGTCCCATACTCGCATATGAATACAACTCACGTTCCTGTGTTATGGATCCCGCAAAGCTTATCTCGCGCGCAGCATCTGCGTTCTCTCGAAAGAGCCCCCAAAATTGATCGATCTAGCAGAGAACGCTCCTTCACACATCCCTAAGAAGAGTCGCTGGGAACACATGATTTGGCTTTCGGCGGATGTCTCGAAGTCGAGGCTTCTACCACTCCTTATTCTGGCGGACTCGCCTGATAGAATCCGACGGTGGCTTTCTCACGACCATCCAGAACATGATGGCTGTAGCAGCCGACAAGGCGTACCTAATCGATTTGGCATCAGTATTCTTTGGACTCGCGAACTTGTGTTTGGCGCATAGCGTGGTTACAGATGATACCCCTGGGCATTGCTTACCAAGTAAAGATATATTGCGTGTGGTTATTCCTCAGGTTCACTTCAGCTGGCCGACCTATTGGAATTCCTACAGCCTCTCTATCATACGCTTTCAGAAGATCCGGTACTGCCAACTTAGTCAGCTATCTGAATTGTGAGCCGCCGTATGAGCCATACCCATGGTTTCTTCTATCCAGACTGGATCGCTTCCAGTAAACTTTGCCATTTGCTCGACATCTGGAAAGTAGAACTCGCCCAGCTCAGGCTTGTTGTCTGGCGTGAACATGTTCTTTTTCCATGGCTCTCTAAGTAACCCCTCCACGGTGACTTCCCCAATGGGTAGACCTGCCTGCCTGTCCAGCTGCCGCTTGAACTTCTTGGGAATCCAGCCTCTGTTCACTAGTATTGTCGATGCAATTCCTTCGCGTTGTAATGGCGTTACCACTAGGTATCCATCATTGCCATCGTGCACTCGTGGCCCAATGAGCATCTCCTGATCATGTCGTAGAAGGCCTGTCGTGACAACTCGTCGATAGTCAAAGTCTTTGATGGCAGCTGGGTCTATACGTGGCGGTAAGGGCAGGGGCGGCTTGAGAATACGATCTTCAAATCTCGCTATCAAGTCTGTTTTCCATCGAAGCCTGAAGACCTGCCATGTCCCGAGGCCAAATGCGATGGCTGGGATGAGTACTGTGTGGCGTCAGGTAATAGAACGGGGTACTAGACTGGCCAGGAGGTTTACTGAGCACTATCAGGCCTGGGCCATGCTTTTGGCCACTTCTAACTGGCACAGCCGGGTTGTCAACGATCGATTGGAAGTAAGGGTCATCAGCGGGGGTGTGTGCATATCTCCGCTGGAAGGGCGATGGTTGCTCGCACTTGGGGCATATTCGAGGACGTAGGGCTGTTCGAAGCGATGTCAATCTTGTGGATTTCGAGAAGGGGGAAGCGAACAGTGAAGGTTTCATGGTTGCTGCAGTTTGTAAATATATGACACATTCTGGTGATTGGCCTCGGCATAGAGTAACTACCTGGAATTCGAGCCAAACTTCACTCTGACCACCCGGCGCTGGGCTCATGAAGATCGAAACGCTTCCTCTGTTTCAACCTGTCAGTCCTACATTTGCGGTCTCCCAAGGACCACTAATACGATGATGTTCTTCGACGGAGATCTGCAGTCAGGCATCGCTCTAGCTTTGAGCGAATCCAAGTCCGTGGCTTGCTTTGTCAAGGGTGTGTCTCTCTACACTCTGCTTGAAATTGGCCTCCGACTGACTGGAGTAAGGTGATGATGAACAAAGCTCCCTATGGGAAAAAGACTTCTTGAAGGATGAGCAGATCACCACTGCTTTGACAACGAAGGCCATCACAGTCCTCATCAATGGCGGATCACAAGAAGCTCAACATCTCGCAGCATACTACCCTGTTCCAGTCTTACCCGCCTTCATCATAATAAATAATGGCCAACTTGCCCTTGATCTTCGAGCTGGAGAAGAAAAAAATGAGTTCAAAGCTGCAATCTTGAGGGTTTTAACCTCCAGATCGCCTCAGCCTCAACATACAACTGTCTCGCCAACACCTGCCTCAGACCCATCCATAACACAACACACCTTAGATCAAACTGTTCCTTGGGCTCCAACACTTGCTACAAGGTCATCTTCAGCTCAATTCTCCTCAGATGAGCCTGACACGTCGCATGAAGCCGGTAGCCTTGGCCCAGCTTCTCCACCTCCTTCACTTCAGTCGACCACGCTCAACTCTGACCCTAACAACTCGCCGTCCGCAGCTCGCAACACAGCCGATCACGTAAACATGCCCCCATCACGCAACCAAAACGTGGACCCCACAGCCGCTGTTCCCTCAAATGCGATTCAGTCCACGGCACCTTCTTCAGCCTCTCCTGGCGGCCAGCCCTCCCAAACCGTGCAGAACTTACTTGCGGATCGCCGTCGTAGACTGGAAATAGACAAAAAGGGAAAGGATGCTGCTGAGAAGTCAGAGCGGAAAGCCAAAGCAGAGGCTCGAAAAGAAGCTATGGTTGTCGCTCCGGACTCGGCTAAGGCTAATCAAGCTACGTATGCAGCACAGCAGAGGAAACGACAACAGGAAGCGAAGCTGGAACGCGAGAGAATCTTGAGGCAGATCGAGCACGACAAAGCTGAGCGTAAGGAGAAAGAAGAGCGTCGCAGAGCAATCGCCAAGGCAGAATCAGAAGGGACTGATGGGGCTGGTGGACTTGTTGACCAGCAGTTGGCGAGTGAAGTCAACTTTTCGAAACCAACCAGATCTAAAGAATGCGCCGTACAAGTTCGGTTATTTGACGGAAGCACAGTTCGGAGCAGATTCCCTTCTGATCAGACACTGCGAGGGAATGTCCGGCCCTGGATAGATCAACAAAAGATTGACGACGTGCCCTACACGTTTAAGCAAGTTTTGACGCCAATGCCAAACCGGACGTTGTCTATTTCAGAAGAGGAAGAGAGCTTGCAGTCTCTTGGACTTACTCCTAGTGCCACTCTTGTCATAGTCCCAGTCCAGGGCTATACAGCTGCTTACAGCGGTGGGCAAAGTATCGTTTCGAAAGGGGCCTCAGCTGGTTACAACGTAGTATCTGCCGGTGCTGGTGTTATTACCGGAGCCCTTGGAACACTCCTAGGACTCGGGCGGGCAACGGCCCATGATGCTACAATGCAAGGGAACCACGAAGCGGGCGCAACAGGGACAGGTGTCAACATTCGCACTTTTCGAGATGAGCGAGACGACCAAGACAATCACCAGCTATACAATGGCAATCAGGTATTGTGCCCTGGCTATACACTTGAAACTGGCACTAATCTTCATAGTTGAACTTTGAGCCACAACGAGATTCAAGGGACAAAGACGAATGACGGGATGAAAGCTTGCATATTACACAAATGCAATTAGCGAGGCGACATAGGTAATTTGATTGTGCATTCAGAGTTCAGTGGGGAGAAATCAAGCCACAGTGGCATGTCTTGTATGCAATTCCATCCCAAATTAAGTTTCGTCCCCAAACAACTGCCCTTGAGATTCGATAAATTCAGCGGCTCTATGTTGATGGCAAAACGAGCTTTAAGTACTTTGCCCATGAAGCGTATTGAACGGAGATCGCGAGAGCCTTCGGCTCTGACCGCTTCGTGAAATCGTGTATGTCATGATATCAACATGACCACACCGTGGATTATGCTGCAAACCGTCAAATGCCCGAACGCGCATTGAGGAGCGATATACAACTATTGCAAAACGGATATGTAATGAGATGGCTGTTCGGTGATAAGAAGCAGACAACATCGCGTCGGAGTGATGATTGACAAGCCAGGCCATTATTAATATCCAAAAGTGACATTAATCTTCGCTCAAAGTCTCTACTGCAGTTCGTCGTTGCCCTCTCCAGATCAACAGTCTGATTCACCTGTACCGCACTTTCCTCAGATAGGGCTTCATGGTTTTGGTACGCAGCAAATGAACGAGCAGAGAGATATACTGTGTTAGCTGCTTAAAGGGTCTTAGTTGATACCTACTGTGACCTTTTGAGCACAGACTGGGTAAATCTGATAAGTGGACCATCACATCAGAGCTTTCGTGGATTGGTAGTGCTGGCAACGATTGTAAGATACGTATACAAGGGATATGGAGAGATTCTAACGATAGCATCCCAATCAGTGTGAATAGAGCGAGGTCGTTTGCCGAGAGAGTCTATAGGTAAAAGGAGCGGGAAATGGCTCCCAAAGTAATGAAACGCTATGCTCGCTGGAAGGCCCGCCAACGACTTGCAGCTTAAGGAAGAATTCGACTCCTATGATGATGCAGACGCCAATTCGTTCCATCCTCGCCGTCCTAGGTAGCGATTGCTTAGTCTACCCTCTCTAGTACTGACTGGCCGCTTGCTGGCAAGCTTTCTGTACAACGTATCAGCATCAGTCCCAGGACTAAGATCTCTCATGTGGCAATCACCAGTTGATCCAAATACCAGCCACAGATCTGCATGTTGCCCTGATTCTCGTCAAGACATTTGGTGAAGCTTTTCGCATCCGTCTCACAGCTTCGAGGACCCCAGGCAATGCTCTGAGAACTGCTCTCGTTGGCCTGGCTAGCGACAGCGTTGTCTGCTTGTTGTTGCTCAGTGGGGGCGCTAGACCCTCCAAACATTCCTCCAATGGCGTGGCCGATACTTGAGCCTACTGCCACACCACTATCATAATATCAGCGTTGTGATCCATAATAATATCATCATTAGGGTCATAATAACTTGACAGTTGAAAAGGGCAGAGAGATGAACGACAAGAACGGGTCAAGCTTACGCGGCTGTAGAGGCCATCTGTCCGAAGAGCCCAGGACTCTTACCCTGCTGAGTGGGAGCACCGGATTGCTGGGCGTGAGCTGGAGGGTGAGCTGCTGTGCTGGCACCTCGTGAAGTTTGTTGAGAGGGTGTAGCAGCAGGCCTAGCTGGAGCAGCAGCAGGTCGAGAAGGCGCAGAAGGGCGGCCACGGCCACCGCTACCTCCGCGAGAGCGAGGCATTTTCTGATTTCTGATTGATTGAGAAAGTTGGTAGGTCGAGATTGCCAGTGATATTGGATGTGAATTTTTAGAACGAAGGGGGAAGAAGCTAGAAACGCGATGGCAAAGTCCCTGTTACCGGAAAATGCACTAGCCAAATTTACGAACTTTTCGATACGAGTTTACAAGAATTAAGGGCCCCTTCGGTAACCACATATTTTCAAAATATGCCAACATATTTTCAACTTAGCGTACTATTAATACACGGTTACGTTCGGTAACCATATTTTCACTTGCCAGGCCACATTGCACACTGAAAATATGTAAATTATGGGTTGACCCATAATTTGAGGCCCAATGTGCGCTAAGCACACAGAAATAATGGACATTTATGACTGCAATAGCGATATTTTTCATTTTCATGACTGGTAGCCACATTTCATGACTGCAATAGCTATATTTCAGTCATGGATGACTCTCTGTTTAAAGAGGTAGCTGCAAGTGTCGTTCTTACTGCTGCTCAGTACTATTCTTCTCATTATGACAGGAGACGGGGTAACGACGGGGGCAATAGAAGCATTAACAATGGCCAAAGCCTGTGCAGCAGTAGGTATGTCAGCTATAAGACTGTTGAATGGTAGGTAGGAAGGCAATTGTCTCTGACGAGAAAGAATTTTTCGACTATCCTACTGTTAGCAGCAGCCCCTACGGGGGTCCTGCGAAGGCCCTGCGGGAGCCCTATTTAGGTCCAAATAGGGGTGTCTGGCTGTCAAGCGCAGACACCCCCGGGACCAGGCTTTTTTAGCTGAGTTGCTAACACCTACATTCGATTCTTACTCAGCGAGATTACGAGGTTACCGAACGAAACCGTACATATATTTAACATATTTTCAAGTGTCTACTAGTGCTGTTTTGAACCCACATTCCATTTGCCAAGAGGTGGGGTAATATACGTTGGCATATTTTGAAAATATGTGGTTACCGAAGGGGCCCTTAAATATACAGTGCAAATTAATTCTGTCCGTCCAAACATTGTTTTGCCGACGATGACACTTTTGTTGCCGGATCTGTTGATATGTATAGACAATGAGTGACTACCGCCGTGTCCAACGCAGACATCCAGTATGCTATTACTTGGCGCTCCACGTTCCAGGCGGTCGATATCTGCCCAACTCCATGAATTCAAGTAGTCCTGAGACAGAAGGGCTCCAGATTTGGCAGCAAGTCGACCTTCAAAATTCTTAGGTGAGAATGTCTGTTCGTCAGAGTTGCCGTACACATAATTTCGAGGCAATCGTACCGACGTCTTCACAATTGATCTTTGCCCTCTCATCGTGCCACGAGGTAATTACCAAGCTAGGTATTGTGCTAAGTTTCGTTGCCATCGGCAAGGGCCATTGTGGCCAGGTACGACGTGTTGAAGCTAAGCCCGTGTGTGATTAGGTCCTCAGACTCCATCCTGCATTTCCCTCTTCTTGCTCAATTTGTTCTTGTTCTTGTTCTTGCTCTTGTTCTTGTTCTTGTTCTTCTGCTTTTGAGTCGCCATTCGTTGGATCTATCTTTGACGCCTTTCCAGAGCTAAGATTCAACTCATGTTTAGTCTCTGTTTTTGTCCCATCCTCGCTCTCCCTTCTATCGTCAATGCTCTGCACTTTCATCCTCTTCAAACGTGGTCCCTCAGAAGACTCCAGATGCTCTGTGTCGGTGTTGGGGTCGTCACTTGAGGAGACGGCTCTTAACCCATTTCCTTGGTCGCTGCTGAATTTCTGTTTCTTAGGAAACCGTTCAAATCTGGTATGAGTGGCTGCGCTTTCCTTTTTGCTTTGCTTTGCCAAATCGAGGTCAAATCTCTTATTCCCAGCCTAACGTTGAAGTCAGCACTTACAAAGTTTATTGCTCAGCGAGTGCGGCTAACCAGTGCATTTTTGATGAAGCGGCCCGCAGCTGCCTTGTCCAGTGTCACATTCTGTCTGGTTCCCGCTGACTCCGCAGCCTTGATCTTCTCGAAGTAGTGTTTGACCCGGGTCAACTCTCGAAAGACCGGATGTTCTTTGGAATTGACACCATTGAGTCGGAGATAGGCTATGACGATTAGCCTCAAGAAAGTGTTTTGCTCTTGCAGACGTACAGAACAATATGGACTCAATAGCATAGGTAACAAGGACATAAAGTTGCGCTTTGTCCAAGAGAGGTAACTTCCCAGCGGTATCTGATACAGCGCTTTTGAGTAGAGGCTCGAGCGCCTCTTCAAGGTCATCAATGTTATCGTCTAACGATTTGATCAACGGTACGAGATCTATAGCTTCCATATTGATCGTTCATTGAGTTGACATTTTATAGTTACAAATGTAGTGTGTCAGGTGCCCTCGGTGCCTAATATTTATGAGATAGGAAGTACGCTTAACTGCTTGAGCCCTAAGCGCGACGTCTAGCGTACTTAATATTTAGTACCTCCCTTAGCGAATAGCTATAGCTTTATTTAAAAGAGAAATTAAATTTTATTTCTAATAGTCTAAAAAGATCGTTAAAAATTATTTTTAACTTATTAAACTTATTAATATTAGTATATATAACGAGTTTAAATCTATAAATTAAATTCATAATCTATTTTTTTAATTAGAGCTATCGAGTAAATTTGATAAGCGAACTTTAAAAGCGATATTTAAACTTCTTATCTTTAAATAATTATAAGATTAAATCTTATAATTCTTTTAGCGCTAGAAAGCGTAAACTATTAGTATATATAAGTAAAGGCCTATGAATTAAATTTATAAAGTTAAATTTTTCTAAGTTAAATCGAATTTTAGCCTTAGCCCTAAGTCAAATCGAACTCTAATCGCTTACTATACGTTTTTAATTTACTTCTACTACTATAAAATTAATTTAATCTATATAATATATAAATATATATATATAAAGAGAGGCGCGTTAAGATTTAATTAGAAAGATATATTAAGTATAACGAATTAATTTATAATAATTATTTATAAAAAATAGAGAAAGACTATATTCTTATAATAAGAAGTATTAAAATACTAAAAAGAAATAGAGATAATATGCTAATTAGTGATATAAATCTTATATTATCTTCTATCGTAGTAAAATCTTTCGAATAATAAGATAGCTATTAAAGTAAGATATCGAATAATTTTAATTCGTTTAAATATATATCGTTTAATATTTCTTTTATAGAGATTTAATTAACTATAATTATCGTAGTAAATTCTTCTCTTATAACGTTATTATAGTAATATATTATATTAATATAGAGAGAATAATAGATTAAATTATAGTAATATTCTTCGCTTACTAAGTAATAATTTAATATAAAATCGTAAAGAGTATATAACGTAGAATCTTAGAGAGTTAAGCCGTATTCTTAACGATAATAATCTTATTATCGCTTAGTTTCTCCGTAATATTCTTTATAGTATTCTCCGTAGTATTCTCCGCAGTATTCAGATTCTCCGCATTTATCTATTATAATTTCTTCTCTTACTTCTTAATATAATAAAAATAATAGATTAAATTATAGTAATATTCTTCGCTTACTAAGTAATAATTTAATATAGAATCGTAGAGAGTATATAACGTAGAATCTTAAAGAGTTAAGCCGTATTCTTAATATTAAGAGTCTTATTATCGCTTAATTTCTTTATAGTATTCTTCGTATTTATCTATTATATTAACTTCTCTTATACTAATTAAATAAATTAATATAAGATTATAAAGAGTAGGCTTATTATATTATTACTGCTAATAATTATCTTTATAATATTCTTCGTAATATTCTTTATATTCGTCTATTATAGATTCTTCTCTTATTTAATTAAGTATAAGAATATTAAGAGTAAATATATTTATATTAGTAGAATTAATAGAATTAATAGAATAATAAAAGAAGAATAATTATATAAATAGATGAAAGAATTATTATTTAATCTTAAACGCGTTTAATATAATTATTATATTTTTAAGAGCTTCTTCTTAACGATATTTAGAATTTAATACGCGTTAAGAGACTTTAAAATAGAATAATAAAGAATAAATAAAAGAGAAAGACGCGTTTTAAGAGATAGTATCGCTAGATTAAAAGATATTATCGCTAATTTAAGAGAAGTATATAAGAAAGAATATATTCGTTTAGACTTTTTTTAAAGATTTTCTAACGTATTTATAAGTAGTAGTAGATAGTTATTAAGCTCGCTTATAACCTTAATTATTAATAATATTAAATTCGCTAAGAGATAATTTAAGAGCGTTAGTAAAGGCTCTAAAAGACGAGTAAAAGAGATATATATATTTAAAATATTAAGTAATCTTTAGACGAGGAGTATCGAAGATAATTATATTTATATTAATAAAATTAATAGAATTAGTAGAATAATAAAAGAAGAATAATTATATAAATAGATAAAAGGATTATTATTCGATCTCGGACGCGTCTGATATAACTATTATAACTATTATATTTAAATATTTATTTAATCTATTAATAGTAGATTAAACTTTATAATTTTTATAGCGTTAGAAAGCGTAAAGCGAGCTTTATAATTTGAGAGATTATAAAGTAACTATATATATCGTAAGCTGAGTACTTTAAAGTATAAAACTTCTATATATAAATTTTTAATAAGGGAGGCGCGGAAGAGCTATCGGGCTAACTTAGTCGATCTAATTAAAAAGCGTATAGAATCTAAATTTATAATTAACTACATATACAAATTCAAGATTTTCAAGTTTAGTCTTATCTTATTCTATTATATTAATAGGAGTAAAGATTTATAAATTAAATTTATAATTTTTTTTTTAATTAGGGCTATTGAGTAAGTAAATAAGCAATTTTTAATAAGTAAACTTTAATAAGCGATATTTGAATTCCTTACGCTTTAATAATTATAAGATTAAATTTTAAAATTCTCAAAAATTCGGAAAGCACAAATAGTTTTTTAAAATTTAAAAAAAAAATCTCAAAATTTTGATAGAAAATAAAAAAGTAATTCTATATATTAATAATATAT